AAGCATGTTTATGGTTGAACTTGCCCTGGTAAGCTGACAGATGGAATATCTCATCTTTCCAGGCATATTTTTTTGTGACTCTCTATGTGCTTGCTTGAGATGAATTGTATTGTGCAGTTGTTCACTGTTTCATTCTTTAATACATGAAAGGGATACATATGCTTATGATTTTTTCTATATCTACAAATACATATGATTACTATGATGAGATATTTTTACTTGGCTTAGAGAAATAAGCACTCCTGTTCATTTATTTTGTGTGTGTTCTATAAGCTTTCGGCTTTTGCTGCAGAGCAAAGGATGTCAGCATTCAAAGACTCACTAAAAGTTTTTACTGTGTTGCTGGATGCATCTAAATTCCACATAGTTGTGCTGGATACTATCAGTCACTCTTGACTCAGCTGAAATGGTTTTTAAGCAGTCAAGGAATATATGGGGACATATGCTGCTGAGCAGCTGATTTTTAGATTGCAAACAGTCCTGTATGGTTTCTCACGCACTGACTCCTGTGTCCATATGACAACTTGGACTACAACTGTTTTGATCTCATTGTATTACTGGGTATGACTTGAACTTTTCTATAACTACACTTATAGGTAGTTTAGATTGGATCAGAGTAAAAGTCATTTGTAGTTGATTATCTTATATACTTTTTCTGCTTAATGTAAAAGGAAGTCAGTGTATCATTCTAAAATGTTCTCTACTGTAAGATTCACAGTAGAAAAACCAAAACCATTGTTGACCTTACAAGCTTTGTTAATCAGTTTACATCTAGTGTTTCATAACAAATCCTGATGTTCTTACTGGTCCTCTAGGAATGCGGCATATTTCTAGTCTACAGTGAAGTCCCAGTAAATGTTCCCATCACCCCAGACCAAGTTTGTTTTTGCATTATTATCTGTTCAGTTGCTTGAAGTTTCCTTTCTTTCCTCCGTCTCACGACATATCATCCAAACATTCTTAATCTCCAGAGGAATTGCAAAACACATTCCCATGAAAATCTTAGATCTCTAAAAGCAGTACACAGGAAAAAAAGAATAAAAACAACATAAAACTAGCCTTGCTTCTCACTGAATGCCTTGAGCAAACTCTTATGTCACAGCTATAGTAAAGTATAAGTCTTTAAGGTCCAGAGCTCCAATCAGACTCTGTCATAAACAGGGTTATTGCCTTTTTGACCGATTTCTATTATAAAACCAAAAGGCTCATTAATCTCATCTAGGGCTTTAGTGGAGGAAAAAGAAAA